GTCCTCCCATGAACACCATTCTTGGCCATTGTTTTACATATAGTTGATGTGTGCACAGAGACATTGGACTGTGCCAGTGATTTCTGTAAGTCTTTAGCAGACACTCTAGGGTTCTTTTTTACCTCTCTGAGTATTCTGTGCTGAACTCTTGGCGTCATCTTTGGTGGACGGCCACTCCTTGGGAGAGAAGCAACAGTGCCAAACTCTCTCCATTTGTAGACAACTTCTCTGACTGTCGATTGATGAACATCCAGACTTTTAGAGATGGTTTTGTATCCTTTCCCAGCTTTATACAAATCAACAATTCTTGATCGCAGGTCTTCAGACAGCTCTTTTGAGCGAACCATGGTGCACATCAGACAATGCTTCTCATGAAGACAATTCTTACCAGGTGTGTGTTTTATAGTGGGCAGGGCAGCTTTAAGCCACTCATCAGTGATTGGGCACACACTTGACTTAAATTGTTTGGTAAAAATTGGTTTCAATTGCTCTTTAAGTCTCCTTAGGCAGAGAGTTCAGTGACTTATTCCTCCCCCTTCTGTCATTGTTTGCATGCTATCCTCATTAAAATATGAAAACCTATAAATGTTTGGGTGGTTTTAGTTAAAGCAGACACTGTTTTTCATCTGTGTGATTTTGTCAGATCACATTTGATGGTGATTTTATGCAGAAATGTGACAAATTCCAAAAGGTTCAGATACTTTTTCATACCACTGTATGACAAAAATGTTTTTTCTGCTGTTATCTCTGTAGAGGCAGTTGTTAGATGTAGGTTTCACATTTGTTTTATTTTGACAAATACCATGTACAGTAGTTATACTACAGTTGCAAGCCTCTCGTAAGTAATGCATTTTTTCCTGTTGTCTTTTGTCAGGCTGATTTGGAGAAGCAGAGGGGCGAGTTGAACAACACACTGATGCAGCGGACAGAGGCGCTACAACAGTGCAGGGTGAGACTGTTATCATCAAACTGGGGACAATATCCAAACCCAATAATACTACATTCATGTCTGGGAACAGCATGTCACATACCAAGGCCTTGGTGCTACAGCTGTGGAGCTAAAAAAAACCTACTTTTGTCACATTCTACTTGTATTGTGTTTTTTCTCAGCTGGACCTGAAAAGTTGACAGATGGTGAGCACAGAAATCACCAGACGACAAAAGGAGGAACTGCAGACACAGGTTAGCAGACATACACACAACACATAAGTAAAACACAAAGAGTTGACCTTCAGACTCTCAATGCACCATAAACCATTCACACTGTACAGTTGGTACATTAGTTATTGAATAATGAAAGCTGAGTACAGTTTAAAAGACAAAAATGCAAGTGGCCACAAGGAGAGGTAGAGAGTAAGTGAATGTTATGATAAAAATATATCGTTTCTGCTCCTGCCTTTTACAGTAATAGGAATAATGTGGTAAAGTTCAGGAAAGATGTTTGAGGTCTAATGAAAAACATGACTGAATGCAGAAACCGAACACAATCAATGGAGAACTACACTCAAAAATGCATAAAGGAAATTCATATCAAGACTTTTTAAAATGTGTGTATGATGGTTACATTTTCTTCTTTGGATACTGATAGGTTGAAGAGCAGGTTCGGTCTCTGAAGAGGACACAGCAGGACATGTCCACTGTTAGGGAGAGGCTCACTGCAAGAGAGGAAGACGTCAAAACTGCAGAATGGTACACACATATTTACAGTACACACTTTCCACTGCATCTCCTACAGTTTTATCTTAGACTTTAAATATGAAAATGCTGAATGAGTTTTTGTGTTGCAGAGGTACAAAGCCAACAGGCTTCCCAGGCCAAGCTGCAGGAAGAGGTGGAGAAGTTGCAAGCTCAGTTGGAGCAAGTGGAGCTGGACAGAAACTCTCAGCTCAGCAGCCTGGAGGAGCAACTGGTCAGCTCCCAGGCACAGGTCAGTCCAGACCAACAAACCTTTCCATTCAACTTCTAAATATATGGTCACACTAAAATTGAGGGGTTTGAAGATTGTTAAACATCTCCTTTACGTCAACACAGCGATGACTCTTGCTCAGATGTGGGCGCAGTGTTATGTTGTAGTAGGTAGTACAGTTTGATCTTTGACCTTAAGCCACTGAGCAGCCTTCTGAAATGTTTTTAATCTAACCTTTGAATAGGTATAAAATTAATCTCACATGCGTCCTCATAATGTTTATAATATAATGTGCTCCAATACTACTCATGTGTACATTTACATTGGACTGTTCACCCAGTTTGGCCCACATTCATGATTGAGCTTGACACTTTTGCTTTAAACAGTAAAAGTTACACCCATTTGACAGTAAACTTAATAAGAAAAAATGTTGCTGCTCTGCTGCTTCTGTCATATCTTTCAGTGTGCAATAATATAAAAGAGTCTACACACTGCAACTTTTCTATTGCTGTTTTTTTGGCACTAAACTGTTCCTGTTTTCCCTGTGCTGGTAGACTATTGATTTTGTTTTATGGATCACAAGAATGCTCTAACAAAAACAAGAAGTAGACAAACTGAATGTCCTCTTGTGTGTATAGATCCTGTTCCTGGAAGTGGAGGTGAAAACCCTGACGGAGCAGCTCCGCACCCCTGTGGTGTGTGAGGAGGCTCAAAATGGCAGTGTGACGATGGATGATCTGGGTCACATTCAGAATGTCAACAAAGATCTGGAGCAGCAGCTCAATGATAAGAACAAGGTCAGACAAACACTCCTCACTGAAAGTTGGTTTATTACTAGGTGAATAATAATGTATGAATACACTGCAGTGATACAGTGATGCTTTTGTCTGTCTGCAGACCATTAGACAGCTGCAACAAAGACTGGCTGAACTAAAGAGGATGCTGCAGAAAGAACTGGTGAGATGACGGGAAACTATGTTAGAGTAAAGTGATGATTTTTGGAGACAACTGAATGCAGAGATTGTCTTAAAAATTTTAATTTGACCTTCACTAATACCTGTTAAACAGCACAATGTATGAACGTGTTATAAAACCTTAATACCAAAATCTGTTGTTTCACACCAGATGAATACTTTAAAACACATATACGTATAACACCTTCTCTTTCTCTGTGTACCACAGAAGCTAAAGCCCGAACTAGAGGCTGAAGCGAAGGAGAAGTCGACAGAGAGCCGGGCAGAAAAACAAGAGAGGGTTTCTCCAGATCCCTCACTCGTGTCCACCCGAAGCCCCCCGACCTCAAACACCACTGTGACCAACAACTCGGACCTCAGCATCTCAAGGGAGACCAACTTTGAAAATCTCAAACACGTAGTTCTCAAGTTCATGTCGTGTAGAGAGGCAGAGGTACGGTACATGTGATCTACATCTACAGCATCACATAGCAGCAACCAGATCCTTCTAAAAAACAAAAAAAAAAAACAAGTGTGAATGTGTGTTGTTTGTGTTTCTGTCTCTGTCAGGCGTTTCATCTGATACGAGCTGTCTCCATACTGCTGCACTTCACCTGAGAAGAAGACATGCTGAAGCAAACGCTAGAGTACAAGGTTACTATCACCAACAACTTAAGATTTAACAAACTCCAATTGAGCAACCTTGTATGCCTGGAACAGCACCATAAATGCATTAATACATTGGTACCCAACCTTTTTTAGCTAGCGATCCCATTTTTACATCACAAACTTTTGAGTAATTTCTGAGTTGCCAGTTGACATTTACATTCTAGCACCAGCTCAGATATTTTTATATGCTGCATTTTATTTGAACTAAATGTAATGAGAGAATACAGTTGTTGAAGAAATGTGTTTTGATTTTAGTCATGATTTTAAAAAGAATAATAATTAAATTATAACATTTCTTTTTATCTTCTTCTTTACTTCTTTTCTCCAGATGGCCTGGTTTGGGTCTAAGCCTTCTCCTAAAGGGATCATCAGGCCTTCCACCTCAGGCTCTTAAACTTATTGGAGATGATAAGCAGCAGAAAGAGAAATGACTCTGTTCCTCCATACTGAGGACTGCTTTAAATTGTAAACAACCAGTGACCCCTAGTGACAACGGGCTGTTGATGCCTACTTCAGTGTTGAAAATAAAAAGAACTCTGCACAGGTGCTGAAAGAAGAGAAAAACAACTCAATCAAAGTGAATACTGTTGATTCTTAATTGACTGTTTGGGTTATAATGGTAAGGTGTATTATGTTAATGCCAGAAGGACTACCTTTAACCTGCATATTCTGCTGTAAATAAAAGTACATTCCACATGTAAAATTTCACAATTCTGTGAACGTAATTTCTAAAACCGGTTTTTATTAAATTTTGCACCGTTTCTCAGAGCAGCATGCATACACAGTGCGGTCAGGGTTTTCTTTAATCCCATAAAATTGGAACTATACCTTTAACTCTGGCTCACAAAGGTCCATGTATTATCTACTAACATGGGATACGGGTTTGCCTGCAGAAAAACATGTAACCACTGAACAGTTCAGTGTGGTGTAGCAGACTCCTGTTTACATACATACATACATTCATGAGGATAATTAAAATAATGCAAATGTACTTTTTACTGCCACTGATTCTACTCTACTGTGAAATCCCCAAAACATTCATCAATCAACAATCAATATTTGTCTTTTTCTTGATATGATTTAACACGTCTTCCAGTGGACTCACCACCTGCAGGAAGGTTCAGGGGGGTTGGTACGGTGCAGTGTGATTTGGGTGGTGACTGCTGCCCCCGCGACCCAGTAACGGATAAGTGGATAAAAATGGATGATTTAACAAGTGCTGCTGTTTTTCTTCCTTCTGTTTTTTTAATATTAAATACAATATAGGAAAGAAAAGTTTCGTTTCATTTTACTTATATAAAAATCCCCCCTTCACTAATATATCTTAATTAGAATGCTATCATGATATTGAAATTCACTAAACAACAGTTACTCCTGTTCCAGTTGATGGGGGCGCTCGTTCCTATTCTGAAACTTAGACCGACGAAGAAGAAAATCACCGGAAACTTTTATGTGAGCACGCGGTGTGTCCGGCCTTTCCAACGAGGCGTCGAACAGGAACATGGTGAGGATCAAACGCTCTGCAAACGAAATTGAATTATTTCCATCTTTCTTTTGTCTGATTTCCTTTTTTTGTTTGTTCTGTGTACTCGTATACTTTCCGAGACGTTGCTCACCCGTATATCGACAAGTAAACTGCTTCAGTAATAGAATAAACTTGAGTTTGTAGAACCGTGGTGGCGACAGACGTCGTTCGGCTACGTATGCTAACAGTAAGCTAAAGCAGACAGACTGAGCTACCTATCACTCTTAATCTTACAGATCTGTCAAACGTTTCTTAATTTCATTGTATGAAGTCTTTGAATATCAAAGCGAAGCGGTTAAGTTTAGGAGAGTTCCTGATTAATGCTCCAGCCGTATGTATGCTGTGCTACGATGGCTAACAGTGTTGGGCTTGTGTGATTAACATGGGTTTTGATACGAGTAATATACATAAACGGTTTATAAATAAATTAACGTTACAACTGTGATAGTGCTTTTAGCCCACTTAAATGTAAACTGATAGTATATCTCCGGTGTATGAACGTAGCGATTCTCTGCTAATTTAAGTAATTTAAGTAAAAGGAAATTAAATGTATGCCTGGGTAAAATCTGTCTCTCACTTTGGACGTTTAAAGTGTTAGAAAATGTTCTGTGTCTGGGAAATACTTAATAAAACGTGATTTTTAAAATTGAAAACGACAACAACAACATGAATACTAAATCAGTTTTCATCACTGAATGTCACCGTATCTGGTTCAGGCCAAGATCAAGGCACGAGATCTGAGGGGTAAGAAGAAGGAAGAGCTGCTGAAGCAGCTGGATGACCTCAAGAATGAACTATCTCAGCTACGTGTGGCCAAGGTCACTGGAGGAGCTGCTTCCAAGCTCTCAAAGATGTAAGTTCAGCTAGAAAAACCCTAGCGATAGTGACACTAACACAGTGGGTTACAACAAAGTAATAATTTGGCACCATGCCATCATGGTTATCTTTAGAAATCAATACATTGTACACTTTTGTGTTTAGTTTGAGTCCAATTGAAAGAGAATCATTTTTTTTATTAATCTGTTTCTTTAAGTTGCTGTGCATTTGTTTGTCTCCCAAAACACAATCAGTTGTGAAGATAATTGAAACTAATTACACCAGTTGTGGGGGTGCAACTGTGTCTATGAAGATCATCCACTAGATTAGAGATGATGGGAAGCATTCAAGGAATTGAGATCCATTTGCATTAAATACAGGCCATTGACATATATCCTCAACACTGCAGTTACATTTGGAACTTGTTACTTTGGAACCTTCAAACCTCATGTCAGAGTAGGGCATGGCAGTGTACACAACCTGACAGTGTGTGGTACACAGAGCAGATAGAAATTCTGTCCAACTTTGACACACAGTTTGAAGGGATGTGCCAACCACGTAGGGGTGGTTGTGTCAAAATCGCATTCTCCACTTGTCTACAGTTTTAAATAGTAAAGAAGTGAATGTGTTAAATTGTATAAAGTCATAAAGGTTTCTGTGGTTTTGTAATCCCAAAATATATTATGTTCAATTTAGTATAAATTGCCACATTTTAAAATTGATTTAAAAAAAAAAAAAATCTTAATTGATGTTTTCCTCAAGTTGTTTGAAAAGTACCTCACAAGAAAAGCTTGCTCAAGTGTTTTTGTTTTTTTGCAACTTCAAAAATTTCAATGTGGCCTGATGTCTTGTTACATACTGATGTGGAATTATGATGCATCTTATCTGCTGTCATTCTCACAATTATTTTTTTTTTTATCTAGGTCTTGCTAACTCAACTAATCTCTCTTTACAGCCGCGTTGTCCGCAAGTCCATCGCTAGAGTCCTGACTGTCATCAACCAGACGCAGAAGGAGAATCTGAGGAAGTTCTACAAGGTGAGAGCAGCTGCAGCAGCAGAATATTTAAAATAGCTGCATGATTATTTATACACGTTTCAACCGACTTGGTACTGAGGCTTTTCCTGTGGTTTGCTTGTCTGAGAAGATGCTTACTAAGCTGAAGTTTGCTGATGCATTCACAAAAGCTTGCCAAAAGACTGAGACTTGATAACCAGGAAGTTCCGAAAAGCACCAACTGTTGTCACTGACTGCAACACTTCATATGACCAGAAACATTTGTCGGTTCTGTGCCTTTATTACAGTGATGCTAGAGGAGAAGTAAACACTGTTTATTAATCATGTTGAAGATGAAACCAGTACTTAGGCAAAAAAAAAGTCAGTCTAATTCAATGTTCCCTCTAATTTTTCATGTATCTGGGCATACACACAAGCTCCCTGAGCAAACTGAGGACTACTGTGAGCAACATCAGATATGCGCGCTTTATTTTTAAATAAGTAATTTGGTCCACTCAAAAAAAAGACAATTTTTAATACTGCACATAGTCTCATTCTGCACTATATCATTGATTGAGTTCACAAATTCAAAGGCATAGTTTTTGCTTCGCCAGCTTTCTGGTATACTCACGTACTTTGCCATGTGATCGTGGATTTGTTGAACTGACAGCATTGATGCATTCATTTTGATGGCAAGTAAAATATTGTCAATGAGAACTTTAACTTGTTCAGGGTCCGATTTTGTTTTGTGTGACAACTCGTTCCTTTTCTCTCGGTCTTTTGCGCTCTCCCGCAATAACGTACCAATCCCCTGCCCCATCTTGAGTCTTCGTGTAGTTTCGACAGCCTTTAAATGACTTTTATGCTGAACGTGACGCTTGAGATAATCCAGCTTCCATTCAATCCACATTTTTCCCTCTGAAAACTCACTTGCTACTTTGGCATCGCTGCATGTTTTGCAGAGTAGACCTTTCTCACTTGAAAAAGAAAAAATCTCACTCAATTTCACCGCTTTTTCTTCAATTTGCACATACTCCGACAACCATTCCATCTTAAAAGAACTGCATTTCTTTTTCACTGTGGCTTGGTGAGTGGTTGTGTCGCTGCCTGTTCGTTTCGCCATGATGCAGGGTTTGTATTAGTATCTATTAACCTGCTAGCTAACCTGCACGGCTCATATAGGTAGAACCCAGACGCAAGCACCGTCAATGCCATGATTGGCTTCGTACCGTAAATGAACCGTATTGTATCATTGGCTGGACACCTGTCACTCACTGAGTGAGAAACAAAAAAACAATATTATTGGGCGAATTAATTAGATTAGATTAAGTCTAATATTGGATTTTAATTAATGCGTTTATGCTTGATGTTATTTATGCGCTAAATAGATTTTCTTGTGCGCTGAGCATGTGCGGGCAGTGCGCGATTGCGCACGCGCGCAGCTTAGAGGGAACATTGGTCTAATTGATAGTTGACGTATAGTTATTCACTGAGCCGAATGGTATTTAATATAAATAATATTAAAGTTTATGAAATTTGCACTCAATCAGTGCTGTGTGGTCTGTTAACATTTTCTTTCCTTAAGTTCTAGCTTTGTTTTCTGGATAAAAAAGTATGACGTGTGCAGCCAGTTTTGGAAGGTTGTCATTTGTTTTTAATTCTGTTAAAAAATACTTTGTCCTTTGTACTTGCTGAAATGATTTGCTCTTACAGGGTAAGAAGTACAAGCCCCTGGATCTGAGGCCCAAGAAGACCAGAGCTCTGCGTCACCGGCTCAAAAAACACGAAGAGAGTCTGCGCACCAAGAAACGGCAGAAGAAAGACCTCCTCTACTCCGTGCGCAAATTTGCCGTCAAAGCCTAGTGGCTTTTTCTATTGACTTAATAAAATTGATGTAAAAATACTGTTGTCTGCCTTGGCAGTGTTTTATTTAAAAATATCTGGAAATAGGGTGCAACATGATCTGTATCAGAGGACAACTGCAGGGTTTATTTTAGAATCCAACCGAGGGTCGGGTTTGGGCAGTTCGGATGGTCTGATTCTGTTCACGGCTGCCAGTTAACCACTGATCTATTTCTTATAACAGGCTTTACCATTATGTTTGCACGTGTTTACAGAATATTTCTAATGTCACTCACTTTCACAGTACATTCACTGTTTCACAGATTCTATATATTCTCTAAAAAGCAAGTCTACCTTGGTGTCACCACCTGATTATTGTGCCTTACAATCACTGAGTGTTTGAGTGCATCTGCCAAAGTCCACTGGGTGGAACATTAATCAGACTGATACTGAAGAACTTTGTAGAATCTTTGAGATCAGGAAGACTAATAAGAGACTGGTCTCAGCAAAGAACACTGGTTGATTTCTGCACACATTTGTTGAAGTTGTTATGAAGTTACAAATTTTGTGAAGTGTTAAGTTCTTAGTGTGTTACTTTATTACACAACTAAGTTTGTGAACCAGTTTGTTTTGAATTCCTTGTATATGGACAGCTTAGTTTATAATGGTCACTTAGTGAAAACTTCATATCATACTAAAAATTTTCAGTGCTGGGAAACATTTAAGACATGACTCCTTTTCCTCCTTTCTGCTCCCCTCCACCTCAGACATCTCTGATCTCATCTACAAGTCTAAGCCCTCCACCTGTCAGCTGGATCCTCTCCCCACATATTTAGTTAAAGCTTGCCTCCCTTCTTTCGTCCCTCTAATTTCTGCCATCATCCACTCCTCTCTTACCACTGGGACTGTTCCTACCTCCTTCAAAATTGCTGCAATAACCCCAATTCTGAAAAAACCTGGCACTGACCCCACCAATTTTAATAACCTACGTCCAATCACCAACCTGCCTTTCATCTCTAAAATCCTCGAGAAAATAATAGCAACTCAACTCAACGCCCATCTCTCCAACAATAACCTCTATAAACAGTTCCAATCTGGCTTCCGCTCCCTTCATAGTACAGAAACTGCCCTTATTAAAATCACCAATGACCTCCTCATGGCAGCTGATTCTGGTTTACTCTCCATCCTCATACTCCTTGACCTAACTGCAGCTTTTGACACCATTTGTCATTCCACCCTCCTCAATAGACTCTCTGCCCTTGGTATCACTCAGACCTCCCTTCATAGTACAGAAACTGCCCTCATTAAAATCACCAACGACCTCCTCATGGCAGCTGATTCTGGTTTACTCTCCATCCTCATACTCCTTGACCTAACTGCAGCTTTTGACACCATTTGTCATTCCAGGTGTGCCCCAGGGCTATGTCCTGGGTCCCCTTCTGTTCATCATCTATCTTCTCCCCCTTGGTAATATCTTCCGTAAACACTCCATAAACTTTCACTGCTACGCAGATGACACCCAGCTCTACCTAGCCAGCAAACCCGACTCCAACCTCCCGCCCCCTTCTCTTTTAGACTGCTTGACTGAAATAAAATCCTGGTTCACCTCAAATTTTCTTAAACTAACAGTAACAAAACGGAGGTTCTCCTCATTGGTACTAAATCAACATTATACAAAACCAACAGTTTCTCTATTGATATCGACAATTGCTCCACCCCCCACCCCCACCCCCACAGGTTAAGAGTCATCCTCGACAGCACACTATCTTTTCAATCTCATATCAACAACGTCACCTGATCCACCTATTTCCACTTACGCAATATCAACCGCCTCCGCCCCTCCCTCACTCCCCATACCACTTCCATCCTGGTTCACAGCCTTGTCACCTCCCGCCTTGACTATTGCAACTCCCTCCTCTTTGGTCGTCACAAAGCTAAAATCAACTCACTGGTTTCTTGAAAGTGAAACATACTGTAAACATGAGCGTCTCTATGATGTGGTTAGAACAGAGTATTAGCTTCATGGATGTGCCACAGACACATCTGCATCAACTGCATGCTGCCCGCATGTCGATGTGTGTTCAATCTCTGAGGATTCGCTCTATCATCCTGTTTCATCTGTACCTCAGAAATGCAGACTGGGTCCAGGAGGAGCAGAATGTTCTCAGTGAATCCGATCCTAACCTTTGTAACATGGTTAGCATGAAAATAAAGTATTTCTTGCTGTGCAGAATCTCTGGGATAGAGATAGAAGAGAGTTGAATACAACAGAAAGGCAACAGTTTTTCATGTTTAGGTTGGGGAGCAGTGGAAAACATGATGTGTAGTTTCTGCCTTTGAACATACACTATATTACCAAAAGTATTCGCTCAACTGCCTTGACTCATACTATGAACTGAAGTGCCATCCCATTCCTAACCCAGAGTTCAATATGATGTCGGTCCACCTTTTGCAGCTATTACAGCTTCAACTCTTCTGGGAAGACTGTCCACAAGGTTGAGGAGAGTGTTTATAGGTGAGGTCGCATTGGTGAGGTCACACACTGATGTTGGTCGAGAAGGCCTGGCTCTCAGTCTCCGCTCTAATTCATCCCAAAGGTGTTCTATCGGGTTCAGGTCAGGACTCTGTGCAGGCCAGTCACGTTCATCCACACCAGACTCTGTCATCCATGTCTTTATGGACCTTGCTTTGTGCACTGGTGCACAGTCATGTTGGAAGAGGAAGGGGCCCGCTCCAAACTGTTCCCACAAGGTTGGGAGCATGGAATTGTCCAAAATGTTTTGGTATCCTGAAGCATTCAAAGTGCCTTTCACTGGAACTAAGGGGCCAAGCCCAGCTCCTGAAAAACAACCCCACACCATAATTCCTCCTCCACCAAATTTCACAGTCAGCACAATGCAGTCTGAAATGTACCGTTCTCCTGGCAACCTCCAAACCCAGACTCGTCCATCAGATTGCCAGATGGAAAAGCGTGATTCATCACTCCAGAGAACGCGTCTCCACTGCTCTAGAGGCCAGTGGCGGCGTGCTTTACACCATTGCATCCGACACTTTGCATTGCACTTGGTGATGTGTGGCTTGGCTGCAGCTGCTCGGCCATGGAAACCCATTCCATGAAGCTCTCTGCGTACTGTACTTGGGCTAATCTGAAGGTCACATGAAGTTTGTAGCTCTGTAGCAATTGACTGTGCAGAAAGTCGGCGACTTGCTTGATTTTATACACCTGTGGCCAGGCCAAGGGATTAGGACACCTGATTCTGATCATTTGAATAGGTGAGCGAATACTTTTGGTAATATAGTGTAATATCCTGCATGTGTTGTTTTCATCACATACAATTCTTATGACTATAGGACTACAAGCCAGACGCAGATCCAGCCAAGTTCAAGTCTGTTAAGACAGGCAGAGGACCTCTGGGGCCCACCTGGAAGGTAATGGCTTTAATTTTAGTCCATTTGAACAGATGTTGCTTGACATCTTCTGTAGTGGCCTTGACTTTCCCCTAGTTGTTTCATTTTTGTTATCAGTACAATAACCTGATATACAGCAGCTCTCATACAACTAATTCAGGAGACTTTCTTGGGCAAAATTTCCTTACCTTCTGAAAGTCTTCCAACACCTGCTGGATGACAGACTGGAGGTCCTGACAACATCCTTCCAGCTCACCAACCTTCTTGTCCGCCTTCTCTTTGAGAAACAGGAGATCCCCTCTACACAAATCAAATGATCAACATTATTCCTCACTGACAAACAAGTTTGACAGTTTTTGACAGTACAACACTGCCTCCTCACCGCTCTATTTCAAGTTCAGAGTTGAGTCTGCAGCTCTCCTTGTGCTCTTCTTCTATGAGTCGGAGTTTCCCTTGGGTCTCGAACATTCCTCTCTTTGCCGAGTTGACTTCTTCCTTCTGACAGCATTTATCAGCAACTGGCATTACAAAAATAAAAATAAAACAAACACAAAGTCAGACCTTAACAAATAAAACACTTGTTGAAGTGCAGGGGAGAGAAACAGCATTTTTTTGTAACTTTAATTCAAAGACTCTGCAAACGCACTATGTGTTTGACTTTGGCCAGCTCCTGCTGCTGAAAACCTTCTAGTTTGTCCAGGTCATCCCATTTCTGGAGGAGTGTTGCACTTTGCTCCATCATGTTCTGTAGTTTGGTTGACAGCTTATTTTTCTCCTAAACAAACAGACCAATCACTCCAATATCAAATCAAATTGTGTATTACCCAGGCCTAAAGGAAAGACTAACCTTTTCCACAAGAGCAAACTTCTCCATCCACTCCTGCAGTAAAGAAAAGAAAAAAATTAGTGTTTGGACACTATCAGTATTGTGCCTGATGACTGAGAGATACACGCACACTCACCTCATCCTTCTTTTCCAGAGCCAAAGTCATTCCCTCTGCCATTTTGGCTCTGCCAGCCTGGTGAGACTCATTCTGTTCCTGAAGTTTCTTTATAGAGGCAGTGCCATAAAAGTGAAAGAGAATGACAGGAGAGAATGGGAACATGGAAAGCAGAAAAACAAGGTTTATCACAACAAAAATGTTAGAGATTATAGAAATGATGAAGAGCACAGAGAGTAACACTGTTAGTAGCTTTGAAAAATTAGAGTCTCCTGAAGAAGTGTGTGAACTTTAGAAGCAAAGCCAGGAAGTAGTGCATGGAAAAAAAGAGAAACTGCTCTTTGTTTTAAAGACAACAACAACGTTAAAAGAAAAGGCTGAAATTAAAGAAAAACCCCTTTACATTCCAAACAACAGAAAACTTTAATATTCAATATACCAACTAGCAGTAATAAAATTGTCCTCTGCAATGTTTGAAATCAAGCAACTAGTTTACAACGCAACAGTCTCCCATTTGCCATAAATGATTGTCCAAAGAAGACTGTATAAGAGTTTACTTGTGTCTTTGTGTTTTCCAGTATCAAGTGTTTAAAATGAGAGTGTTTCTGACTATTTAATACACCATGTAGATGAAAGACAATAGAGAAAAAAGAGGGAAGTGAAGGCTAAATATTTGTCTTTTATATCCAAAAACCTGATTATATCTATAAAGTCAATGGGAAGACAAAAGTGCCAGGACTCGCATATAAAGGAACAAGCTCAATTTCAAGAGGTTTGCCTTACTTTGATCCCGTTGTCTTGTGAAAAGATAATGGGACCAATGAATAATGTGATAACTCTGAAAAGAGCGACACCAAAAAGAAATATCAGAACTCAGCGAAAAGTAACAAACCCACATAAAAACAATGTTAAATTACCACATGACTTTTTAAACAAAAGCGACTGGATCATATGTTTCTTTGAGAATGTGTGACCTTTAACCTTTGGTCACAACTTGTAATTTTTAATTTCAGAGTTTACATTTTATTTTCATTGCAGGTCATTATTCCGCAGCAGTTTGATCACATTCAATAGTACAGGAAGCTTTCAAGGCCAAACTGAGATGACATGCCTCTCAACCAGACAGACACAATAACAAAAAAAAGAGAAAGTAATGTCACTACTGAATTTAATTAACTTCAAACTGTTTTTTTAACTGACAACACCTGATGCTTTGGAAAGGAGTGCAGCAGCAGCTGAGAGACAGAGCATCGCTATGTTCTATTGTTTCAAGCATGAATTTGATTCCCATTTTAAGTGTTTAACATTATTCACAGGGTGTGACTGGCACATATTTTGAAAGGATTTTTCAGTCACTGCCTTTGACACAACAGTGTACATTCATACAATCTACCGTACTGCCTTTTTGATTCAGATTTCCTTTTTAACTGTATTATAATTTACAAAGCATTGGTTATCCATATTCCTAACTAACTGTATTTACTTTTAAAATAATTTAGCAAACAAAATAAATATTTAAAGTGACACAAACTTAACAACAGTCTGAAATTTCTTATTGACCATTTGGGCTGACAGCAGCTTCAGTTGGATGTTTCCAACCTGACAACTTGGCTTCCAACTTCCAGATCTGACTATTTCTTCTTAGGATCTGAGCTAGTAAGTTGTCCCTTGAGCTGCTGCCATCAGATGCCTAAAGAAAAGAAGGGAAGAAAGAAAACAAATAAAGAAAGTAAATACAACACAGAGCAGAAGGTAAACTGATTTTTTTTCTTTTTTGTTTTTCTTCTCAGTGATGCCTGAACTGCCATAAAAAAAGGTTTCTACTTGGAGAAAAAACATTTGTTCAGGTTTGGGACTAATCACAGTCCAAAGCAGGAACACGTTATCACAGTCTGTTGTTGAGAAGTGAAAATGTTGCTGGCAGAAGCCCAAAATCAGACAACAGCATAAGTGCAACATGGGATTGAGGTGTGAGATATTTGACAAAATTATCTCAGCATACATAATATATGGTATTACATTGTGTGGTCACAATAAACGTCAATAACAACAATGTCTAACTTGAAAAGTGAAATGATCAAATAGAAGGGTTTTAATAAACATAGGTTGTAGTTTGTAATTCATATGTACTACACAAAAATATTCGTATTAATGTGGAAATTTAACCCTTGTGCGGTCCTTCGCATTTTTGTACACACCGCTTGTCCTTGCAATGATTTTCATCTTGTCCCAGAATATGAGTATTAATGAATATGAGGAAAGGTTGGCACAAGTCATGCAGTACAGGAACATGCACACGCACGCATACTCATGCACGCACACACACAGACACAAAGACATATTGGGTCTAGGTGACCCCTGGGTCCCGAAGGACTTTACAAGGGTTAACAAGACAACAGCTTTATTAAATAATTTATCGAAGTGCAACAGAGACAGCAGTGCTGCTCCAGGGGTCAGAGTTCCGTGAGAGACATACAGCACTACTCCAATGAGCTGGGGCACCAAAAGAGGAGCCCAGAGGGGGCCCCAATAAATTATAATACTGACATAAAATTATATGATGTTATTAGTTTTATGTATAATTGAATCAAAAATGTCTGAACCTTTGGCCAGCTGTGATAGGGGCCCAGTAAAAGATTTCATAGGGCCCATAATCCTGAGCAGCACCCTTGCTTGTGAGCAGTGAAAATTCAGTAATATGAATTTCAAATAAAAACAGAAGTGGGCTTTTTCCTCAGAAAGAGGATGTGATACATATGTCACATTATCCAGAGCCTACCTAAACTTAACTTTTTTCACAACACAATTAAATCAGACACATTGTCTTTACAAGCTTGAAGCGCAGCTTTGGTGAGAGATTATTTCCCCATGTGCTGTTAAAGACTTGTCCTCACGTACAGAAAAGTAGCATGAACACCCTATTAAATGATTCACCTTTTTTGCAGTTGCAAGTTGCATTTGTATTTTGTTTTTGACATTTAAAATAACACCTTTACATTTCACAGAGAAGCAAAACCAGGAGACAGTCCTTGGAGCGCCATTATACTGGAGAGGGAGCGGCAGTAAAAGACTCTAATGAAGCCACAAAGTGGGTACTAATGCATCTGCAACATGCTCATTAGCCTCAACGCTAACATTGACAAAATATGTAACCAGAGACATGTAGAGCTTCAACAGGGACTTCATATGCTTTGTGTTCACCATGCTACTACCCTTGGTCTGGTATCAAATCATTATGTGTCCTATTTGGAATGAGCTCCACAATGCTGCACCAACAGTGAGGCATAAACAGACTGATATTTTTCATTTGTTTACTGATTTATTGCTCACAAGAATTTTCCAAGCTCAACTACTTCTACTGCACTCATCTCACTACTGATTGTTGAGATTTTTCCTGAGATGCACTGCTACTTCAGGGAAATAAATACAAATATTAGTTTTTTTTTTTAGGGCTAAACATTACTGGGTGATACATATTAAATAATATATTTTTAGAAATGTCTGTTATTCCTGTGTCATATATCAGTGTCTCCAGAGTGACAAAGTGTCTAAAAATGTGCCTCAATAACAGGAGTTTCAATTTCACACACACAAACTATCACTCCCAGTATGATATTACTAGTATGCAATTGCTGGAAGGCGGTGATGTAAAAAGCTGCACTGCTGTTCATTTAGCACAATTCTAAATGGACACAGGCTTTAATTTGTAAACACTTGGTGAACTAGAAGTGTGTTGTAATTTATGACAACTCAAGAATGACAGCCAGTGAGGGCATACAACTGTTGTTAGTCTACATACATAAGTACATAAGTTTTCCTCTTACACCCCACCCTCTAGTAACAGGGGCATTTTGTTTATGGCTGTGTAGACATGAGCCATTTCAACAGAAACATTAGAATCTCAGCTTAAAGCTCATAAAATTAATTTCTACCAGTGCAAAACACAGTTAAAACACATACAGCACAGAGGCATTTTCCTGTCTAAATCTGACAGTTTTCTCTCTGTGGATGAGGTAGCCAGAGCACAACATAGAGGTAGAGCATCAAGCAATATTAACTTTAACCATTTCCATATGCATAACACCACACCAATTTTGTACATCTAGGAAAAAAGCAAAATATCAAGTTGGAAGATTATCTAGAGGAAACTTAAAAGTTTTGTCTGTGTCACTCACAAAGTCATTGCCTGAGTCTGCCCCTACTGAGGTGATGGATTCCTTGCTGATGGTGCGTGGAATACGAACACCACTGCGAGGTGCCATAGCTGCTTCCTCAGCGAGCTTGTTCTTTAGCTTGGCAAACATGTCTAGCCCGGTCAATGTCTCTATCCTGGTGCAAACTGCAGTGTGGTGTGCGATGTACGTGATTTCACGTGGCACGATGCATTGAGGTTATGGGTCCATCTCCGCAAGACTGTAAGCAAGCAGTGTCCAAATGATGAGCTGTTGCAACATTTGCAGCACCGGCAAGTCCATGCTGTTACACCTACAAAGGGAAAAGAAGACTGATAAATCTATTTGTAGAATGAAAAAAAGATGTATTTACTCAATGACAGGGTAATTTCTGAAATTATTGGCAACCATCCTAGAAGTCCTAAGTTTTCCCAAAGGGAACTCCTGAGGAAAAGATAAAGTGCTATCTATCTAAGTGTTCTGTCCTTGGATCACAGTGCAGATCAGGATGCAAAAGTTTTAAATTAAAGCACATTTCTATGTCTGATAATGTTTGTACCCAAGGTATTTAAAAAATAATACTAACACACTATGTTCCCCTACTGCTTTCACTAGCTTACCATAATTTGTCAATAGTTCTCTTCTCAAATAAAATTGTGACATATTCTTATGCTAAGAAGATCCAAGAAGAGTTTAATAAATAGTCTGTCAACTGTTTATGTAAACTTTATAGATTTTTTATACCTGATTATTTTCACGAGTTCACATAAACCGTAATAGAAACGTTATTTTAACTGTATAAAACAGTATCTGAACCAAATATCTTCTTGTCCATTCCAATTTTTGCAGTCGAGATTTTAGGCCTGTTGAGTAT